GAGATGCAAAACAACCTTTCACTTTCTTGTGGCTTGCCCTGTGTCCACCCAATGCCTGATGCGACGCAAACACCTTCTTGCAAGCCTTGCATTGGAATACCTGTGCGGTTTTTTGCTTTTTGACGGTTTTGCCCTTACCATGTCCATGCTTATTGTTGCTAGTATCATCATAAGCATCCCCTGAATTGGACAACAAGACAAGACAGTTGGCAAGCTCTTCGTCTTCGTTTGGAGACAAGCTAAGATGATTCGATCTCTCCCTCTTCCATGGACGACGTGACATGTTGTCCTCATCGTGTTGTCCGCGACTGAACATGATGAAATCAATGCATGATGATGAGTTCATGGCTCTGTGTGTGTGTATGTGTAAGTGACTTATGGGTGTGAATTAAAAAGGAGAAAGCCCTTGTTTTTAGTGGAAGTAATGGGTTTGGTGTCTCTTGTTTATGTGGTTCCAAGTGGCTGAGCCCTTGCTCTAATGACACGTGGTGCTACTTTTGACTTTTTCCAACATTCCTAGTCTCATGCTATATTGAAAACATTACAATGCTCTCATTTCATGCTATTATAATCAATTCAACACTCTGAATTATATATGGCTTACAACATAACTTTATAACCCAAATGCAAACTATAGTCTCTCTTCCTTTTTTCGGTGTGACAATATGAAATCAGGGAGAGGTGAGGCTGCGGATGAGAAGGCCTTCGAAGGTGATTCCAGGTCCGAAAGCTAAGCCAAGTCCCCACTCTTGTGCTGCGTTGCCTTTCTTCTTCAGCTCATCTCTCACATACTCCATCACATATAGTATGGTGTTGCTGCTCACATTCCCGAAATCCCTCAACGCCCTTCTGCTGCTATCTAGCTTCTCTTTCTCCAGCTTCAGTTTTGTCTCCAGGCGGTTCAGAATCGCAGGTCCTCCGGGATGAACAGCCCAGAACATGTCGTTGAACTCCATGGACTCATCACCAATCTTTCCCATCAGCTTCTCGCAGAACTCTTCTATGTTATCTTCTATCTTCTGCGGGAGGTCTCGACCTAGCTTGAAGTTTATGCCTTCCTCAGTCAACCTCCCGTCGATCACGTTCTGTGTCCCAGGTAAGAACTGCTGAACAGCATAGTGCAGCTCCATGAAAGGAGCTTCGCACTCTCTCGGGTCTGCCCCGATGATCACTGCAGCTGCACCATCTCCAAACAGAGCAGCCCCAACCAAGTCGTAAGGACGAGCTTTGTTTGGTGGGCGAAACCCGAGGATGGTAGTTTCAGAGGTTGTAAGCAGAACACGGCTTCCCGGGTTGTTTTCAGCAATGTCTTTGGCCACGCGGAGGCCAGTCACACCTCCGTAGCATCCCAGAAAATACAGCATCACTCTGTTCACGTCATTCCTCAGGCCTAGCTTTGCAGAGAGGTAAAGGTCACCACCGGGTAATCGGATCTCGCTTGAGGAAACATAGACGATGTGAGTGATGTCTTCCACTGGCCTTCCCCATTCCTTGATGCAACCCAAACTGGCTTCCAATGCCATTTCCACAACCGCTTCATTTGCAATTTCAAGTCTTTGCTGGATTGTTGGTGAGCCCTCTGTTGTTAGCTCAGGGTATTTATCCAGTATCTCTCGCGACAACACCGTGTAACGTGTCTTCACGGTTGTAGTTTTGCCTAAAGAACAGCCACAAAATATTAGCAAACTTCAGCATTATTACAAGAGAGAGCACAGCTGTGTGAAACAAATGTAAAGAGAGTGAGGCTTACACAAGTGTTCCAGCTTCTCTTTGATAAAGGCGTCATCACATTTGGTGTCACGTAGAAATCCCTCCACGAGATTCTCCTGAGGAACCACTTGGCTTGGGAAGGCCTTGCCAAGAGCAAGCACCGTTGCCTTCCCGGGATTCGCTACACGCCTTGTGGGTATGCTGCTTTGCTTCTCAACTCCATTCATCCCAGACTTCGACATCTCTTTTCAGGTGCAAATAGAAGCAATCTCAGTTGATTATTGAGAAGAAAAGTGGTGGATGCAGAATATCAACAAAAGCAAAGGATTATAAAGGAAGGGTTGAGGGTTTTCTTGGAGAGAGTTTGGTGTTATTGAGTGAGGACCATGAAAAGAGTGTACTAATTATTTTATTGGGGTTTGGTGATATTTTGACTTGTGTTGGTTAGAAATGCAAAATAGACCATGAAAGAGGAAACAAACCTTTTTCTCCCAGGACAAGTAATACAATAGGTATCATGAAGGTGAAAGTTAGGAACAGAGAGTTGAAACATCCATACAGACCTGTATCAGACACAATGAAAAAGAAACTTGTTGAATTTCTGAGGGAGAAGAATGAAACCGAAAAACAGATAAAGAAACCAGCTTTACCAGGACGCATGCAATTTTCCTGCTTGAATGAAACATAAAGAGCCTGCCAAACGCTTTATACATGTTGCTCAAAGTTTGTCCTCCGGGTCAAGAAGAACTAAGATGATATCCCTTGTTCTAATCCATAGCAATCATCTGACTTTCTCAGTGTAGCCATCCTGTTTGACACATACTCAAGTTCTTCCAACTTTCCAGCAGCCTCTAAGGCATTTCTCAAAACAACGTCGCAGCTAAGCTGTTGGTGGTTTCCTAGTTCTACCAATTCATTGTACAAACTAAATGCTTCAGAGTGTCTCTTATCCTTACATAGTCCTTCTATGACTGTGTTGCAAGTGCCGATATCTACCATTTGACTCTTTTCCAGACAAAACAGCACAAGTCTGTGTGCATCAACTAGTTTTCTACTCTCGCATAGGAAATCAAGTAATTCCTCCATCTTCACCAAATACCCATTATCATAAAGCAACCTAACAATCAGAAATGCCTTATCCTTTTGAGCACTGCTAAAAAGCAATCTGACAGCATCCGTTGATAGATCGATGTTCTGTCTTACTCGTTTTTCCAACATTAGCCTTACCAAGCCAAAAGACTCGTTAGCAAATTTCCCTTTCACAAGTTCTGCAAGCACAGAATGGAAAGTGGTTGCAACCGGAACATAAGAGCTCCTTAGCATCCTTTGAAGGGTATCGTGAGCAAGAACAGCTTCACCGATCTTCAATAACCCATCAATCAGTAACTCGTAGGTTTCAAGATCCGGCACAAATTCCCGCCTAAGCATTAGAACCAACAAATCATAAGCAGCCTTGAATTTACCTTCTTTGCAGTGACCCGTGATCAAAGTCCTGTAAGAGGGTGGATCTTGCGCTCCTCTTTTCATTAGCTGCCTAAAAACTTTCTCAGCTTGTTTTGTTTTACCATTGGTGCATAAGTATTCAAACATTGGGTTATAAGCTGCAGCAAGAGGCTTGCATCCATCCTTGCCTAACAAAACTTCCTTCTCAAATAACTCATTGAACAATGTCTTGGCTCTATCAAATTCGTTTCTCAGGCACAAAGTACGAATCAAAACGCTATATGAAGCTGAATCAGGTTGCAACTTCATATTCTCCATTTCTTGGAACACCTTCATCGCTGCGTCCAGATGTCCTGCATCACAGTGGGCTTTGATCAAGATATTAAAAGTGCAGGCATCTGGAGCATAAGTGGCAAATGTATCCCCTCCGTTCAGAATTTCTTTAATCACATCATATCTCTGAGCCTCCGAGAGCCCCTTAATCAGAGTATTGTAAGTTACAGCATTGGGTTTGAGCCCTCTACTCAACATTTCATGAAACACAGCCAAGGCTTCATCAATATCCTGCTTCATACAATACCCTCGCAACAGAGTGGTGTAACTAACAATGTTGGGATGCACATCTGTTGTTTTCTTCATCATTCCATTCAGAACATTATGCGCAATCTTCACCTTCCCGGCTCTGCATAAACCATCCATGATGGTGTTATATGTAACAACATCAGGATTGCATTTATACAGCTCCATTTCCTTAAAAACCCTAAAGGCTTCATCAACCATGGAGTTCTTACAAAACCCCCTTATCAATATGTTAAAAGTGAACGAATCTGGGGTAACCCCGTAGGTGCGACGCATTTCGTCGAACAGGTCCTGGGCCATACCAGTCTTACCACGCTTGAGCAAAATGGAGAGAAGACTGTTGAATGTAACAACGGAAGGCGAGACACCCATCCTCTTCATGGTCTCGAACAGCTTCACTGATTCCTGGAACAGCCCAGCGTTTCCGTAGCTCCTGATCAAGCTGTTGAAGTAGCGATCCTCGAGCTTAACGCAGCCATTAGACCTTTTCTCAATCGAGAACAAGAAATTGCGAGCCACGTTGAGATTCCGAGCTCGGCCTAGGAACTCTAACATGAGGAAGAAAGACTGCTCTTTGTGAGAAAAGCCCTTGTCGGAAACCCAGTCAAAGAAGCGTAGACCATCTGCAGGGATCTTGATGAGACGTAGTGTCTGTAGAACGGTGGTTCTAGTGGGTGGTTCAGATGGATGAAGAGAAGAGAGTGAAGACTCGACTTCGTCTGACCACGGGTTAGAGTTGACAGCACGAGCCATGGACCTTGCGAGTTTTGATTTGGTCGACGATTTCGATCCTTCATTGCTAACTTTGGCTCGGACAATCGAAGGTACAAACCTGTAAGAATGAATTTGACGATTTTTAGCTTCGAAAGGAAAGAGTTTTCGAGACAAGCAGCAAGTTTACTGTGTCTGAAGAATCAAAAGAAGTAAAGGAATCGATTACCGCAGAGGACGTTGAGACTTGGAGGAGACGAACAAAGCGTGGAGCCCTGAGCCTAGAACCATTGAGGAAGAAAGTTGCCGATGGTGATGGTGGCTCGACGCCCACCGCTCCAAACTTTCGGGCACTCGTTTAGAGACACAAGAGAAGAAGACAGAGACGACGTCGTTTTAGTTTTAAGAAAACATTGTTCGTGATCTAAAAGCCCAATGTAAATAAGGGCATAATTATCCATGAGATGAGATGGTGCAAGTCTCATTTGCCTAATTATATTAATATATATAATATAAAGTGTTGAAATGAGTCTCGTTAAAAATTTGGAAAAAAGCTGTTTATCCATGAAACTTTATAGAATCATAAAAAAAAAAAATTAAAATATTTTAAATTAAAAATCTCGCCACGGCCAATGACAACACGACACGTGGCGCGTTAAGACCCACCAAAAGTCTCAGCCCACTGAGACGTTTTATTTGGGTTGAAACTGAAAACTGATTATTTTATTGTTTTTGGGCTTTGAGACTGGCCTTATGAGACCAACAGATCATGGTTAATTATGGTCTAACTAAATGGGCTACTAGTGTAACATAATGCAAAATACATTCTCAGCTCCTTGAACATA